GGGTTTATGTCATTTCACTAAACTATGAAAGAAGTGGTCTTTTAATCTGAAGGGAGAAATCCTAGTAAGATTATGTTTGCGCTTTGCGGATTTTTTCGTTTTCATACATATGTCTCCCTAGGTTGAGGAGCGAAAATCTATATAAAAGAGTCAGATATTTTTGTGACGGAATGCCAGATTCATGCATCACAACTTTTTTTGCTCGGACACGCTTTAGAGTCTAAGGCGTGCTCTAACAAAAGTTTTTTATTAGTTTACCGGTTCCTTTCATTAAAATTTGGAAAAATAGCACAAGAATAAGTCAGAACATGCAAATCAAAAAAGTCTATATATCTCATAATCTAATAATTAGTAGTGTACTAAAATGTGTTTGTGTTTATTTATCTCGTAGGCACACCGGATTGCAATAGACCTGAAATGAACTAGGTGGAACAAATTTTTTTCTGAGATTAATAGTGTTAATTTTTCAGTTGTTCGGGACTTGATTCATTACTGTTGACACTAATATTGCGCTTGCTTAACTTACCCTGCCAGTTTCAAATCAACCTCTTCTAGCTCCTTTGCTTTCTTCAACACTATAGTCGCGTCATTGGTACGGGTTTCCCGGTTTTCTTTTGCTTTCCTTGGTATCTTGATGTCGCTTTCTCCATTGATGTCGCGATTCTTTGCTTTTTTCACTATTTTCTTCTTTCTTGGTGGGCGTCTCGCTTCAGTGCTCTAAAATTGATGATTTCTCAATTAAGGAAACAGGGAGTCTCAAAACCAACCGTAATCGACGGTCTTCTGTTGGCATCTTGGGTGTGTGAGTGCCTAGCTCTTTGGGTCCCCCATAGGGTAATCCAGAGATTGGAATTCAAAAGATAATCGGCCAGCTGAAAACTTCTATGAGCTTCTTGGGCTTTATTGGATATGAAGAGCAAACCTCGGATGACACACTTTTGTACTGGAACGTTTGTTCATGTAGATATGATGGACTGCTGCCTGATACAAGAGCAGTGTTCACCTCTTTGCCATCGAAAAAGCGGTATTTGCAGGAGCTCTAAAAAACGTGGAAAAGAGGAAGACGTTTCCAAGTTTGTGAAGTTGCTTTTTTTGAAAAAAAGAAAACAAAAATACTTTGTCAATTCGGCGTGGTAGACCTCTTGCTGTCTGTATTTTTACCATAAAACCGTAATTTTTGCCAATCTGAAAAAATAGTATGGAATTTGATTGATTTAGATAAACGATAACTTACCAACTCTTGCGGATCATTCACATAATCTCCGATAAGCTCTTTTCCGGATGAATTGCAAGGCGAAAGTTGCACTGACAGTTCTCCAAGCTCTTCCCCTAAATATTCTAAGAATAAATCGAATAATCTCAAACAAATTTTGTAACTTCTTCCGTCTCCTCCAGTTGTTATATTTTCCGAAGCATATGATACCTGTAAAATCCACTATGGGATAAGTTTCTTCAGAATCCATAAGATATGCAAGCGGTTGCAAGAATACGATAGCTGACCCCAAGAAACCCTTAGAATCGGGTGCTTCGTAGAATGGATCACGATCCTGAATTTTAGATGCCTGCTTTCCGAAATAAAAATAAATGAGTTAAATTCTAGAAAGACTGATTAACTGCCGCGAAGGAGCAGTGTTAGTAGCATCTTTCCCAAAAAATGTTTAGCTCGCACTTCTGAGATTTTAATTCGAATCGAAATCGATAGTCACAGCCATTTTCTTAATTAACTGTTTATAACATTGCAAATACCAAAGTATAGCAGTAGGTTCGCATCATACTTTCCCCCATTTATCGAGTTTTCTTTCAGAATTGCGATTTTCTAAATGAGATCGGGAACCTGAGAATCTTTTACTTCAATCCCATAGCTATAAAGCTCGCGTAACTACAATAAGGATGTGATTCTCATTTTTTGTTTTTGTAGTATTTAGGTTTCATATAAATGAAAGAAAAGATGCTATATAAATATTCAA